ATTTGGGAGAAGTCTCTGCCTTTTTGAGACTTATCAAAAGATGGGTTACCCCAGCTTTGCACTTACCTGTTTTGAGCAGTTTCCAGCAGCCGTCTTCATCCCCAGCTTGGATTCATGTCCTTTGAATTCGGGTTTTATGCTGAAAGCAGAAAAATGTGGGCAGCTCCAGGGTGATGCATCCCCCTGTAAGCATCTAAAGCAGGGGATCAACCAAGAGATCCAACTCTTAGCGAGCCCGGTCCCACCCTGAAAGCAAAATCCTGCTTCGGAAGGTATGTTATACCTCATCCTTTATTTTTTGGGGGAGCATGGGTCTTTTTGTCACCCCCTTTCCTGGAAGAAGATTTTTAATGCTGCATTTCAAGCATTTGCAGGAGCACAAATCCACGTGGATCTCCTGCAAATTTGCCTCTAGAAAGACCACACAAGCCCATTGTGATTTTTGTCACTGAGTGCCAACAGGTTTTGCGTTTCCCGCATCACCAGCTCCTTTTTTCTCACCTCTCTGCAATGGGATGGGAACAGCGCTGAGACCCAAAGAGCTGCTAGAAAACACCCCCAAAAATAACCAGCGTCCTGCAAAGCACAAGCACATCACATCCTTGCTCTTTGCTGCTGGTTAAAAGCAGGTAGGAAAGAAAATATATATATATTATTTGTCCATGCCAGTGACAGCACTGCTCTGGCACTGAGAGGAGGAGGAGGCTGCTTTCCCCAATGGGAGAAGACCTTCAGACACCTTCCTTGCTCGCCCCAAGCCGCTCCACACCTTGAAAAAGCAGCTCTGCTTGCAGAAACGGCTCTTCGTGGGCTGCCGCAAGGGGTGGAAGAGCAGAGCACAAAGGGAGACGTGACAGCCGGGGCACAACAGCGAGCGTGGGGTTTTAACTGTGACTCCAGCCACAAAACCCACCACCGCTGCCGGTCTCTGAGCTCGCTTTTGCTCCTGGGGGGGGGAAAAAACCCCTCTGTTGGCCTGAACCTTAATGCCACAAGGGCAGGGGCCAGCCGTGGCATTGACCGGCCATGGCATTGACCGCCGTCTACACCAAGCCAGATGTGCCACCGCGCTCAGCTCCCAGCTGCTGCGGGAAGCTTCCCGGGCAAGTGAATTTGCTCGGTGCCGTTGCACAGCGGGCGCTGGGCTCCTCCTGACCGCATGGGATTTCTGCTCGGTGATGGAGGGGGTTTGGAGGAGCCGATGTCCCTGACGCTGCCGGACCCCTACCCTGCAGGAAAGCACAGGGAGGAAAGGATTTCCCCTGCCTTTTCCATCTGTTTCCTGAGGTGATGGTGGCCGAAACCCAATGCCTTGCTCTCAAGCGGGTTCACTGCCTGTCTCCAGCCTGGGGCAGAGAGGTAGCCCAAGCGGGTCTCTTTTCCATAGCCTGATTTTCTTGGAAAGGGGGGAAAACCACAGCCAACCCCCAAGGACACCGCTGCCCCTCCATGCAGAGCTTCATGTGCTCGCTTTTTTTTTTTTTTTGACCATCACAGCTCAGAGAGGCTGAGCAGGAACCGTGCAGCAACCAGCAACCTCTCCCCCTCACTTCGAGCATCCCAAGGGCTTTGCTTTGGGTTCTTCTTCCCTTCCCCAGGGTACCTCTGGGTGCAGCACGGGGAGGAGAGGAGCTGAGCTCCCAGCTCCGAGGCTTTGCAGGTTTGCTCTCTGCAGCTTCCCTGGACAAGCGAGCAAGGCGGCTCGTGGGTTTTCTCAGCTCCGTTGCTCCCGCAGACACTTGCAAGGTTTTCTCACTAAGCGGAGTGACATGGGGGGACCTGCCTGCTGAAACAAAGGGTTTTAAAAACAGGGCAAAGACCACAGAAGAGCTGCTTCCTCCCTCTCAGTATGGGTCCTGTTGCAGGTCCTCGGTGGTACTGGGCGCTGCTGGGAGCTGGATGGGTCGGGACCACGGTCCTGGCAGGCATCGTGCTGCGGCTGCTGCAGTGACATGGTGAGTAGCAGGGTCCGTCATCCAAAATGGTGAAAATCTCCTCAAATCCATCACATGCCAGCCCCTCCCTGGGCTGGAGCAGATTTCTCCTGTATTTCTAGCAGGGAGCAGCTCCTGGGCCACTCCTGCCCCTGGCAGTGGCCGTCCCCGATGGGCAGGAGGGGTAAAGCTGCCAGCATGTCCCCCACGGACACACATAGGCTGATTTATGTTTTTGGAGCCTGTCCTGACACAGGTCCCTGCAACCACCACCAGGGTGGAGAAAAAGACCCCAGGGGTGTCCCCCCAAGAGTCCTATCCCCGGGCAGCACCTTGCTCCATCCCCAAGGGCTGCTTTGCACTGGGGCTTCACCCTAACGGTTGCATCCTCCAGCCTCGACAGCAGCACGACGCTGCGGGTCAAATCCATCCTCATTTCAGGTGGAAACAGCCCCATCCTGAGCCAGCACATGCTCCCGGGAAACCTGCCCGACCAACACCAGCCGACAGGACATCCCGGAGTTCAAATGCTCCCAAACTGCTTCCGGCTGCAGCTGAGACAGCGGCTGTGTGAGCAAGGAAGCCACCATGCAGCAGGTACCGCGGCTCAGCATCACCCACAGCTTTGGGGCTGTGGATATAGACCCCACCCTGTTAGAGGTGCTGGAGGGTTGTTGTCCCCTTTCCACATGGGAGAGGGGAACAAGGCCAGGAACATTGGGAAAGCACCCCAAGACCCTCCAGTCCTCCCAATTGCTGTCCTCATCCACATCACCCTCTCCCTGCACCACCCCATGCCCTCACCACCTTCCTCTGTTGCTCCTCTTGCTTTCCCCCATCACACCAGGGGAGATTTTTCCAGCACGGGCACAGCCCATGTTTTCCAAAAATGCACCTGGAGGGGCTCAAAGGGCAGGGAAAGCCTCGAGTGTCCCAGGGGGGTTGCAAGAGCCTGGTGCCCCCAGCTCTGCCCCTCACCCCGTGGCACCCACCGGACCAAGGACCACTCACACTCATCCTCTGCCACAGGCATCTCGGCTTGCCGGCTCTGTCCCGCAGGCTGGCAGCCGTTCGCAGCCAAGTGCTACTGGGTTTCCACAAAAAACGAATTCTGGGAGGTGGCGGAGGCCAACTGTTCATGCCAGCGATCTCAGCTGGTCATGCTGGAGAGCGTGGAGGGGAAGGTAAATAACTGCGGGGGAAAGGCTCGAGCGTTGCCCCTGCATTTGGCTTTTTAAGCTTTGCTTTCTACAAAAAGCCACACAACCTCCAGACTGTGGCTGACCTTTCCTTCCTGGCTCGCAAAGCGCCCAAGCCCACGCTGCCAGGCAGGATTTCAGGGGGAGGGGGGAAAAACCAGCCCACAAATCTGAGCTCAGGGGAGGTTAAGGGAGAAGGGCAAAAACATTCTGCCCCATCCATGGGCTGCCAGGCTCCTCTGTCACCCCAAAAAACGCTGTTCCCCTGCCCATCGTCTCCAGACCACTCTCCCACCTCTTTCAAAGCACCCACCAACATCTCCAGCCCCCAGTCTGCAGCTGGGATGTGCCAAGCTCATCCCAGACCAGATCCCCACGGGCAGGATCAGGTCTCCACCCCACGCGATCGGCTCTGAACCTCCATCCCTCCTCTCCCAGGCTTTCGTCAGGGAGATGATCGGAAACACCTCCAGAGCCTGGATGGGGCTGAGCATCAACCAGATGAGAGGGAAAAGAGTGGACATGGTGGGATGGATCCCCTTTACAGAAAGCCGGCTCCGGTTCATGAGCAGGTTGCAATAACCACATCCCAGGGGAAATATTTCCCGGCCCGATGCTCACCACAGACCTGGCTGCTCCCAAAAATCCCTCTGAAGCCGGCAGCAACACTCACAGGAGCAAATTAAACCAGAGCGACACAGGTTCAGTCTCTGCAGCCCGGCTGCTAAACAGGGAGAAGAGAAGAAAAAGCAATTAAACCGTTACTCCTATTTTACACCCAAATGCAAAGTGCAAAGGCGGGGAAATTTCAACCTGTTAAAAAGCAAGGAGATTGCCCCAGTGGTAATATTTTTCACACAGGGGTGCTGTCATAGCCACAGTGACCCCAGTATACAGAAAAAAGGCAGTTTCTGATAGAGCTAATATTTATTAGACCAAGTAGTACACACATGGGGGTCTGGGGAGGAGAAACAAGTTTTCTGGGGGGCACAGGGTCCCCCAAACACTTCTGCTTCCCCGACATAGCTGGAAAAACAAGAGGCAAACGGGTGGTACATTCCCATGCTCGCAGCTGAGCTGACAACTGCTGACCCAGTTCAGGTTTTGGGGGGGTGGGGGGAAGGGAGGGGAAACACCCTAATGAGATAAATACTGTTACTGGAAACACAGCGTCCAAAGCGCATGACGCCAGGCTGATTGCCGTCACGGTGCTCTCGAGGTCTCCAGCGCTGGGTCCCATGAAGGCGGACGCTTGTGCCGCGATTCGGAGGGGTCAGCTTGCACTCCCACATCTGCAGCGTTGCATTGGATTTGCCAGAAAGAGGCCACCGAGACTTGAGCCAGAGGAAACCACACAAGGAACAACGGGACAGACTCAGTGCCGGGCAATTTGCCGGGATGCCGAAACACATCCCAGAGCAGCGGTTCGGTGGCTCCTTGCCGAGGCTGGGGTCTTCTCCCAGGCGTTGGCCAGGGGGGACTCCGAAACAATTCTGTTTCATTTCTCCACTTCGCATTTCTGCCCCTCGCCTCCAGTTCCTCCAAATCCACCAAAAAGCAAAGACACCAAAACCAGCAGGACTGAGTTTCGCAGCGCTGCAGCTGCCGGCAAAGCAGGGAGTTTTCCAAGCCTCTTGAATATTCCCAAGTCTCCCTGCAACTGCAAAAGCTGGAAAGACACTAGTTGCCAGACTAAAGTAAGGATCCTTTGGTCACGGCTCCGTGTCATTGTCATAAGGAGTTTCTGCTTTTGTAAACTAAAATTAAAATAAATATATACCATCAGGACACTCATTACCATGTTGTGTAGGGTTAATAGCAGCTTGTGGTTGATCTCCACTGCCGGGGGGGAAATTTCAGGTGAAATTCAGAAGATTTCTGAATCCTTCCGAATCCCGCTGGGGCGCTTTTGCGGGTGGCTGCAGACAGAGTATTTCATCTGGGAGCACCAGTCGCTGCTGATCCCGTCAACGTTGATATAGGCACATTGTCCCTTGCCCCGGACATCGAACCTGCACCAAACAGCAGAAGGAAAACTCAAAGGGAAGCAAACAGGTTGCTGTCAGCCGCAGGTCGGTGGCTGAGCATCTCCCATACGGGTTAACGGTGCTGCAAGGAGCAGGGACCACCCTTCCCAGCAAACAACCCGCCCCATGCAGAACAAAAACTGCCTCCCACTCCACAAAGGAGGGAGTATTTTCAGTTGCTTGGTCCCAGGGGGGTTCATCCAGGGATGCCCTCAACGCCCTGCCAGCATCTGCATCACACAAATCCACGGACTGTGGTCCGAGTGCTTTAGCTCAAGCAAGAAAAGTGGTGTTTAATTGCTCCCACCTCATTAAATTTATATATATGTGTCTTCTTGCATTCAATCCCTGACCCATCTCAGCCCAGGACATGGTTACGTTCTCCAGAAGAAGATGGGACGTACGGGTTGTTGAAGAGAGACCCGTTGAACCATTTCCAAGGTCCAGAGCCTTCCCTTTGGAGACCGACCCAGTAGTGCAAGGAACTCCCATAGCGCAAGAGGAAACGCTAGAGGGGGGAAAAAGCAAGCATCATATGTATCTTCACACTATGCCCTCCCGCAAGGGAATCCCAAATCTGCTTCCCAAAAGCCACTGACACACCAGTTCCTCAGGGATTTCTCATTTACCAGCTCCTCCCGGGTGTCGATGGTAGCCAAATGGGCTCCGAGAGAAAGGCAAGCGTTCTGACTCCTGTTCCAGTCCGCTTCGTCCTCCATGAAGTAAAAGCACTTCTCCCTGTACCCGATCCCGTTTTCCAGGCAGCTGCGAAGGACGGGAGAGGGGCAGGATGGACAGGACGGGCGTTTCTTAGCTGGAAATAAGCAGAACACGTCCTGGTGACTTATGCTGCTGGGTTTTCTCCAGGGGAGGAGAGGCCTTTGGTGGTGGGCACCTCCACCCTCAGCCACTTACCCGCCAACGCGATGATGGTGAGAAGCAACGCTGCTACGACCACGGTGACCCCGATGGGGACCTTTTTATCTTTAATGCACTTGAGGCTAAAACCTGGGGACAAACCACATGGAAGAGGCACGGCCGGCAAACCCACGGCACAAAGAGCACCCCAAGCTCCCTGCAGCTCTTGTGTTCCCCCCGTGGGTGCCTTCAACACCTTTAAATACAGCCACAAAGCACGTGGGGGGGACACAGTGGGGTGCAGGCTCAGTTCAGGGGGTGCATCCCAGTGCTTTCATCAGCCTCCAGGGATTTTTAGGACTGCCTGACCTCATTGCATCCTCTCCATCCCCCCTCAACCACGAGAGATGGGCACCATCCCCTGATCCACAGCTTGGGCTGCCCTGTGCCTCCTGCAGCTTGCAAACATCTTTACCTTTCTTACATCCTCCTCCCCCTCACCCCAGCTATTTTAACTAAATTTTAGCTGCCCACGTCACGCTAAGCCCAGCCACGACCTCCGAAACAACGGCCCCCAAAACAAGACCGGTGCTTACTGGTCCCTTCCTCCACTCTCTGCTGCGATGGCATCATTACAGCAGTCGAGTCTTTGCGTGTGCAAAAGTAAGAAGCCCGTGCTTCTTCACCACTAATGCTGTGGAGTTATTCAGTAGGAAGTGCCTGACCATGGGTGTTTTTCTCCCAGGACAGCCAAGGGAAAAAAGCAGCATTCCCCCTTCATCTGGTTTACGTGCATGGCAGGAAGGGAAACATGATTTCTGCCTTCAAAAAACCAGGACTCGCTTTGTTTTTCCAAGCCAGCCTTGATTTTATCGGCTTCTGCCGGCTCCGTTTGCCCTGGAGAGGTGTTGTCTCAATTACATCCCCACTTCTTCAACTGCAGGGTGTTTTCAGCTCCAACCCCCAACTCCAGGACCCTCAGGTCACCCCACGTGGTGCTGGATGGCCCTTCAAACCCATCTGAGCCACGTCCCCCAGACCAAAGCACAGAAACCGCCCCTTCATCTCCCCACCATATGCAGGGCAGCTCTTGAAGCCTCTAGGAAAGGGGATGGTGCTTATGTACCCGCATCATGAACACCTTCTGCCATCCCTGGCGCCGCGGAGGGGACAGCAGCACCCTCCGGGGACAAGCACGTCCCTCAACTCCACCAGCAACAAGGTGACCAGGGCCAAGAACACTTCGAGACCGCAGCACAGCACCAGGGACCAGCCAGGTCCTTCTCCGTCCTGGGGCTTTGCCAGGATGCTCCTGCGGTCACTAAAATAAAAAGACAAAAAGCTCATAATCCGCCCAAAACCTCAGTGCTGCTCGTCACAGCAGTTTTTTCTAAATCTCTCATTTTCCTCAAAGCTCCATTTCTCCTTTTTTCAGGTCCCAGCCTGCGTTCGCTCTGAATTATTGCCTCTCAAAACCTCCCACGACAGCATATTTTTCTACGTTGTTCTTGCAAACTGTTTTTCTAAATTCTTTCGGTTTTTGACCTTTCCCTGAACACGGCCTTCTCCCAAAGCCCATGGCAAAACATTAACAGATTCAGGTCTCTCTCCAGAGAAGCAAAACCAGTCCCACAGGAGCTATTTGTAGAACACTCACATTTACAAGAAAAACCTGAAGGAGACAGAACAAGAATCCGCCAATGCAAAATAGAAAAACCTGCGGATGCTGTGGTCAACAAGCCCTTGAAGTCACCGACAGCTCCTCTAACAAAGAGCTTCCATATTTACTAAAACTGTGTATACAACCCTGACGTCAGATGCACAGCTGGTGTTCCTGTTTAATATCAGCACTGTAAATACAAGTTACATTACCAGTACCTGCCCTTTGGACCTTCCTCAATTTGCAGCAAATATTTTCCAGGTAAGAACAACCTTCACGTGTTCGCAAAGGTAAGAATCAGAAGGATGTTTTTTTCCTCCCCAAACACTTGATTTTGAATAGGGTTTAACTGATGTAGCACTTTGCTACTGTCCCCAACACCCGCCCATCGCCCAAAACGAAATTACTCCTGCCCCAGGCTGCAGCTTGGTGCATTTTGGAGTAAAAGGGGAAGAGGGGGAAAAAAAAAACAACCAAAAACAAGTGGGGATCAGAGAAACCTGATCATCAGAACATACTCTTGTGGGAAATAAAGGATTTGTGTGTCCCAAAAAGCGTGTCAGAAACATTACAGGCGGACATTGTTCTAGTTCACGGCCTTGGTAGGGTGAAACATTGCTGCCCAGTGAAGCTATGTCTCTGCAAGTGGCACGCAGAAATAAATCAAAGGCGCTTTTGTCTAGCACCCAAGGAGCGAGGAATCCATGCAGCAAACAGGACTGAATCCCTCGTGCCCTGACAACACCCGAACACTGCTGCAAAAGAAGAAAAAATCCACCTTTTATCTGCAGGGGTATCCTACGCAACAGGGGACACAGCGAGGTGTCGCTGCAAGGAAACACCCTGGGGTCACCAGGACCCCAAAGTGGGACCCACAGCCCGGGTTGAGCTGGAACGGGAGTCCCAGGGGAGAAGGGAGAAGAGTGCCGAGGGGGAAGATGCTAGAGGGCAGGGAAAAAAACACGTCCCCAAATGAAGTTAGGAGGTTCCCATCTGCGGAGCTTTGCAAGGCAGCCCCAGTGCCCGTCTCTGCAGGCTCCCAACTCACCCTCCGCATGCTCAAAGGAAAATTGGCTTTCCCACGCCAGCTTCCTAGTCCAAACTCACGGGGAAACTGCTGCTGAACTTGGGGTTTCCAGCTTCCAGGAGCTGCTGGGAGAGGACAGAGAAGCTCCCACTGAGCAACCGACTTCCACTGTATGTTTTTCCTCCGTGGTAGAGAAAAAACTGCAGATTTCCCCCCTCCATGCCCACAGCCTCCATCCAGATGAGGGATTTAAACACACGCAGGGGTGCTCTCTGCTCCTGAACCCCAAATTTATCCCCTACCTGCAGTACTAGAGCAAGAATTGAGCAAATTGGAAACAACCAGAGGCATCTAATAACCGATACCAAGCAGCTGCTGAAACCCACCCCTTCCACATGCTTTCTGTGGTAAACCACTCCTGTCTGAGCTGTACTGTTGCCTTAGGAAACTCCTTATCACTGCTCCTGAATTTTTTAAGTTAATCTCACGCCCTCCTCCATCCCCCAAAGCCAGATGGGGAGATGGGGAGCGGCTGCATCCCAAACCCCGGCCACGCTCTGCCGGGACTTGCAGAATCAGAGCAAAGCTACAACCCACCGGTGCTTACAAGACACCCCCAGGTTGGATGCTTTTGGGGTACAGCAGGAGCAAGTCACACCGTTGCTTAGATGTGATCAGCGTCGATAGTGGTTTCTCTGCTCCGTCTTCACAGCTAGTGTGATCGTTAGGGACCTGGAAAAGCTCACTCAGCTTTTCCACTATGTAAGGCACCACACCAAGGGATGAGGCCGGATAAAGGCATGAGCTTGAGCAGCAGTAACAAATGATTTCAGCAAGTCATTGTACAGTTTTCCCGGTCAAGAATTCCCCTTTCCCTTGGATTTGGCACAGCAATCTCTGCAATTGAGAATTAGGCTCAAGTCCAAACGTGCTTCACCCAGGTCCAGCCCAAACCTCCCACCACGCAACGCTCTCCTGCCCCCTTTCCTCGAGGCTTTTACCCCTGGCTTGTGCCCCATAACTCACCGCTTGGTCCAAGGGAAAGGCAGTGGGTGCAAACGTCTGGAAGCCCACCAATTTCAGCTCTCCCGGCTCTGTTACCGACCGGCTCAAGGCTTTTCAGCCCACGCTGAGACGCGGCATTGCCCCGGCGGCGGGTGGAGGCAGGTTGGCATCCTCGGATTGTCCTGCCCAGGGTGTCCTCGGGGTGGTGACAGGCTGAGAGTCTCTTGAGAGTCCCTATCCTGTCTCGTCTCCTACAGAGAACACAGAGGGGACGTAAAGCTGTCTGTACATTCCCCAGCCAAAAAAGTAAAGAAATAAAAAATAAAAAAATAAAGAAATACTCGGCAAGGGCAGATCAGCAGGTGAGCCTTCAGGGTTGCCTCGGAGCAGTCACGCGTGAAAATAAAAGCCAGAGGAAGTGCTCCATGCCCAGCACCATCAAAACAAACCACCTCAAAGCCAATTTAATTATTGCAGTATTTACCACTGCTGACTTTCCTCTACTCCCTCCAGCACCCGTAAGGGCGGCGGGGAGGTGGGAGCTGCTCCAGCCTTTGTACCTCCGTGTCCTCCAACCTAGGTGGCAAAAGGCAGGATGGAGGCAGAGACACATCTCCCCTCCCTTGCAGCTTTTTCCCCCTCCTTTCCCGTCTCCCAGCTTTTTTGCACCGTCCTTAAATGACTCTCATCCGCTCACACTCCTTTTTGGATTAAACCGGCTGCTTCAGCAAATTCCACCGAGAGAGGAAAAAAAAAAACCAGGGGAGGGTGGGCAGCAGGGATGGCATCAGCTCAAAAGCATCCTCCCAAGCGCATCAGCTGATGCTGCCCATCATCGGCATCCTCACCCACCAGCCACGAGAGCGTCACGGATGGTTTTTAGGTGACAGATCCCATCTGCCTTCCCCACAAAGAAACATTTGGCAGCTCCCCAGCCTGGGCCTCTTCCCCACTTGAGAGGAGGTGCTCCAGGCAGGAGGATGAGCCCGCAGATACGCGTGTGTCTGCACAGGGGTGCGTTTGCTTGTGCAAGGCTGTGTACAGGGGCTCTCAGTGCCCCCCTAATCCTGATCCCCCCCCTCCCCAAGGTGCTGCTGCAAGAGCCTCACGAGCAGCTGTGGATGGTAGAGACAAACCCAACCTGGATGGTGGGTGAAGCAACCTCACTGCATCCCCTGCGAGGGCAGTGATGCTGTGGCTGTGTGGAAGGGCTGGGCATCAGGGCTGCTGCAAATGGCCCCTTCCCAGTGCTCCCAGTCCATCCATCCATGAGCATCCCAGTTCAGGCAGCTGTTTTCATGCAGCGGGGGCAAGAAGCGGCGCAACACCCATGGGGCAGTCCCACCGAGCTTTGCAGCTTGCTCTGAGCTGGGGAAACCCTATTTTTGGAGGTTTATGCTATAGGAAGAGGCTCTTATCTCTTCCCCATCACCCCGATGTGGCAGCTGTGGCTTAGAGTTGCAGCCGTCCCCATATCCCCTGTCCCCCTCCTCTGCTCAGCAAAATAGGTTTCGGGTGTTTGCCCTCCTTGGGCTCTGGACCAGGCACTACCTCGTGGCGATCTCACTTGCCGGGGTTTTAGTTTTGGATTTCTTTTTAATCCCGCCACCTCTTTTTCACTTTTTAACCCTAACACTCTCACCGCTGCGCTTCCTCTCTGCCTTTGCAATGCTGCTGCGAGCACTGTGCCACGAGCATCCCTCTCCTCCACCGCCTGCCAGTCCCTTCCTGGCATGAGCCACCTCCTGCGTTAGCTGTGCTGTGCCTGGGGTGAAAGCACAACCTGAGGATGGGGACAGTCCAGGAAGAAGATTGAGGGGGACGCTGGCATAGGCAGAAATCCCAAAAGCATCTCCCCAGGGGGTTGGATGGGGGCCCTGGTGCACCCTGGAGCCATGGAAGGGTGAGGCAGGTCCAGGGGCAAGTGCTGCCGGGCAGAAAGGGACAGGTACAGCGTGCACGAGGATGGGCGTGCGTGCGCAAGCAGGCTTATCTGGTACAGAAAGATGCTCTTTCCAGCCCTCCCCGTTAGCAAACTTGCTTGGAAACACCACACAACAGAGCCCAGCTAATGTCATTATTAATTTCTGCAGGAGATAGTTGTTGCACAACAACGTCAGCACGGGCTCCCACATCCCCCCACTGAGGGCCTGGATCCTGGCCCGTCCCCAAGAGTCTCTCCCAGTCGCAGCCCAGCTTGCAGCCCCTCAGCACCCCGCAGGCTCTGCCTTCGTCCCAGGGGCTCAGCTGGAACCTGCGGGTGCAGGGGGGAGCCCGTGGCACGGCACCAGGGTCCCTCGGGTGACGGTGGAGGGGCCCACCCCGACACCCATCCCTCCCCAAAGCGCTCACCGGCCCTGGTCCAGGCGGGAGCCGTTCAGCCAGGTCCAGCCCTTCCCGGCGGAGGGGACGGAGAGGCCGATCCAGAAGGACCTGGTGGGTTTCCGTACGACTTCCTTTACGAAACCCTGTATCGGGGAGAGGGCAGGGGGTGATGCCAGCGTGCCATCCCAAAACGGGCTCCAACCCGTCCCCGCGCAGCCCCCACCCCAGGACCCAGCCCCACCGGTGTCCCCCACGCTCTGACGCTGGCAGAGGCATCCCGGAGGCTTGGGCGCAGGGGTGGGTGCTGACCCCAGATTTCGGGGCAAGCCCTTAACCCTTCCCCGGGTGCCACCAGCCCCCTCGGGTGCAGTCCTGGGACGCGTCCCACACCCCCGATGCCATCCGTCCCTTTACCAGCTCATCCTGGTCCCCCGGCATCAGCAGCTCGGCACCCCGATTCACGCAGTCCCGCTTGCTCTCGCTCCAAGGGTTGATCCTGTTGGCAACTCAATAGCACTTGGTCCCGCGCAGCGTCCAGCCCGTGGGGCAGAGCTTGCACCCCTCACCCTCTGAAAGACAGTCAGTGCCATGTTCAGCCACCAAGAAGCCACCTTGTCCCCTGCACATCCAAAGAAGGACAAGTGCTTCTCCCCACCCAAACCTATTCCAACATCATCACCGCCTTCTCCCTGTTACCGATTTCCCTGTAATCCCACTGTTTTTTCAGCCCGGGTTTGAAGCACACTGCCATTCTGCTGCTCTGCAGAGCAAGCAGGTGCCAAAAAGCCTGGGAGACTCTTTGGAAACAAGGGGTTGGTAATGAGCTCCTCAAGGGGAAAGGATAGAAACTGTTCCAAACAGCTCAAGAAATCTATTTGGTTTTCCTTCACTCCTTGTTTTCAAGTCTCTTCCAAGAGACAGTCAGCTTCTCCCTTTGGAAACCGGGATGGGACTAGACTAATTAGAGGGCAGGAAAGGTAGAAAAGAAAACACAAACCCAAAGTTGTAGAAAATATAGCTATAAAGGCGTGAGATGACATTCTCACTGGTTTGTTTGGAAGACTTGCTCATCTTTTTCTGCACGCAGGCTGAGAAACCCCACACAAGGATCTTCCAACCCCAGTGAGGCAAGAGCCAGACTGTCCAAAGATGAGTCAGATGCTTTTAGACCTATTGAAGCATCCAAAAATTAGGTATTTATCCCCATTTAGGAGAAAGTGGTTTCTCTGGAGAGCAAAACCACTCCAGACTTGCAATGTGAGCACACAGGGGCCTTGATTGCAACCCATGCCATGCCCAGAATGGTGGGACCTGAGCGGGGACTGTCCCATCACGGTCTGTGCTGCACACATCCAACCTCGGCATCCCCACGTGCCGCCTGTCCAGAGCAGGTAGGGAAAACCCCGGGGAGATTTGTCAGGATATTTTCTGCTTCTCTACAAGCAACAAACCCTTTGGTTTAAGGTTTCAGCGAGGCTTTTGGCATCCAAACCGACCGCACAGAGGCAAAGTAACCAAAAAAAAAAGCTCCTAAAGAGAGCAGCAAACACCGCAAACTTCACACCTGCAACCTCGTTAAGCTTTTTAATTTTGCAGCTAGGGACAGCAAACCCAGCACACTGCTGAGCAGGATCCCTCCTCTTTACAGCAACAGCAGCAGGAAGGAATTAAGCGGTGCGTGGAAGCTGGACGCTCAGCCACACTGGTTGCTCTAGAGGGACCAGTTTAACCCAATGCTGCCGGTCCTGGTTGAACTGCAGGCAATACCGGCAGGAGCCCCGTGACGTGTGGAGGAAGAAAAAGAGTCAGGTGGGGGAAATGCAAGCTAAACTGAGGTGCAGGCATTGCTAGCACAGGCAGGTGGGCGAGAGCCGCCTACGCCAGCCATCACCATGCTCAAAGCAGCTCAGCGTTATTTCCGCAACATCGCTCAAAGCTGGTTTTCCTTCCTTAAAATAGCTTTGAGGCCCTGTTGGGTAAATTTTGCCCTCTCTCTTACGAGAAAGGGGGCAGCTGTGGTTAACAGCATGAAAGCAGAAAAGTTGCGACGAGAAGGGCAGCTTGTGATGGCTGCCACATCCGCCAAGGTCATTATAGAGCTGTCGCAGTCAAAAAGCCTGAGTGACCTTGCCCCAGGGGAAAAAGGCACCTCAAAAAGGGGACGTGCTCCTGCATTTCCCACTCTCCACTCACCGCAGCCTGCGCCTGCTCTAACGCGGGGGATTATCACTCTTCTAGCTGGATTGTCATCCTTAGCAGAGGCAAATGCAGAGAGGAAGCGTAGTGGTGTGAGCTCTAAGGGGGGGAAAAAAGAGGAACTGGTTAGAAATTAGAAAGAAATCAGGGGGAGGGAGGAAAAGAAGAGCCTCTCCCCATGGCAGAAGCCTCAAAAATGGAGTTTCCCCAGCTCAGGAAGAAGAAGCCAAAAAAAGATGAGGTGGGACTGCCCCAACAGCGACCCCTCTCCCATCCCCACTGCCATCTGAGCCCCTAACTGGGACGCTCGAGGATGGACGGACTGGGAGCACTGGGAAGGGGCCCTCCCACACAGCCACCACACCGGCACCGCGCTCGCAAGGGACGCAGCGAGGTTTGGTCACCCACCATCCTGGTCGGGTTCGTCCCCAACGCCCACGGCTGCTTTCAGCTGCTTCTGGGGCTCCCGCAGCAGCACCTTCTTGAGGGGGTCAGGACTTGGGGGGGGGCCCCGAGAGCCCCCGTACGCAGGAAAACGAGGGGTGACGGGGAGGGGCGGTGGCTTTCAGCAGAGCACGGCCCGGGGGGAGCCCCAGAACTCACCCGGGCATCGGGCAGAGCCAGCGCCGCGTGACGGGCTCCAGCAGAGAGCTCCAGCCATCCCCCTCCAGCTGCCGGCACCCCACGCTGCCACGGCTCGAGGGAGAAGACCCCGGGGGGGCAGCCGACACGTCACACACGTGTCCTCCAACGCTCCAAAAGCCAGGAGGGAAAGCGCACCTGGGGACGAGGAGGGGAAGGGACAGGGCTGCCTTGAGCAGGCGCCTTCCGGAACAGAAGGGACACCCACGGTAGTTTACCGTGTTTTAACAAAAACGTCAGTAGAAAAATAGCAGCAACACCCATAACTCTCACACAAGGGCCGCTTCACACCCCGGGCCTGCGTCCCCTCTGCCCTGCACAGCGCCAGGGACCTCCGCCCAGCTTTCAGCACCCATCTCGTCCGCTAGCAGCTGCTCGAGCTCCATCGCCACGGTGCAGGAGCAGGTATACACGAGTTGCGAGAGAAGCAAGGCGAATTCTGGGGTGGTCCCAGGAGGAGAAAGAAACCCGCTCCATGTACAACCCAAGGTCGCAGTCCAGGCAGCCACACGTCAGCTTCCACGATGTCTCCCCTTCCCGCAGGCTCATCTCCCCGAGACCTGGCAGTGAGTTGTTGCTGAGACCAGGAGCAACCTGGAGCAGCAGCTGAGGCAAGAACATCCCTGCGCTGGTGGAAGAGGTGAAGCTGTGAGTCCCCAGCACGGGGAAGGTCCTTGGGCGGGTGTCCTGGTTTCGGCTGGGATAGAGTTAATTTTCTTCCCAGCAGCTGGTGCAGCGCTGCATTGTGGATTTAGCAGGAGAATAATGTTGATAACACGCCGATGGTTCAGCTGTTGCTGAGCAGTGTTTATACTAAGTCAAGGACTTTTCGGCTTCTCCCGCCCTGCCAGCGTGA